ATTTATTATATATATATTGCTATATATTGAAAGATGTAGAGTCAGAAAGATATGTTGCAGCATTGCAGCGCAAGTTTTGCAAACAATTCAAGGCGTGACGGCCTACATGCTGAACATCGATTCAAGCCCGACCTTATTTCCTCTCTGTTTCCAGCGCTTGAGCCTCAGGCTTCAGTTCTACCTTTTGACAGAGGGGTTGCCAATGCCAGTTTTTCCTCTCGGTTTTCGATGGTTCTTCAGTGACTTTCTAACTTTGTTCTTTGTGTGTGTGTGCTGTTCTTTTGTTGTCACTGCTGTGCTTGAACCAACTGTTTCTTGGATTAAGGCGTAGAGATGCAGGAAGGTGCGCAGCAAGCCTGTGCAGGACCAATCGGTCATCAGTTTGGTGGACAGTGGCTGGTTGAGTGATGGATACAGGTTCAAGGTGCAGTGATTGTCATTTTTGGAAATGGATGGATTAGTAGTCTGACTGTGCAGGTTGTTTTTGGTCGCCCTGCCCTGCAGCGCATTTGTCGGGATCAGATCATTTTCTTTATTAGTAGCATTAGTCTGGCAATGAACCTTGAGCCGGAGATGATCCCAGAACATGAGATTCGGGGAGCGATTGCTGAGATGCAGCAAGCTGAAGCAGCCGAAGGTATGACGCCTGAGGTTTTGGATATGATGTGGAGAGCTGTTGGCTTTTCCCTTGACCACCACCCAGCGCTCCAGGATGAGTGTCTTGATGTAGAAGTGAATCAGTTGAATCCCTGTAGTATTATTAGCAAACCACCATTGAAAGACAGTAGAAGAGTTTTGATCATATTCTTTTTTATGAGTGAGACCCTCATGGTTTGAAACACGCGGCACTTAAATTATTGACAGCGATGTTGGAGCATCCAGGTGTTTTTTCGGGCAACCATGGTTTCAAATCGAATGACTGATGCATGATCTGATTAGGGAGCAGTCAGCCCATTTCTTGCAGGTTTTTGTCCCCTCGGGTCAATGCAGATGAGCTACATGGGGGGCCCAATGCCGGATTCCTTATCGACCTCAACAAGGTGAAATACTCCAAGATTTTGATGACTCATGGCTTCAAACTATGATTTTACATGACCAGGATACTTAACTAACATTCGCATATTCATAGTCATAATAAGACATCACACTGGTTCAAGTTGAAGTCAGACGTGTGTTCTTGTGTTGCCTCCTTGTAGACGTTGTGACAAATAAATCTGACAGACACGGAGCTTTCATGTGATGTCCATCTGAGGGATGTCGACAAGGCCATGGGTGCCATGGTTGTCAAAGCAGTGAATGGTGTGCTCAAAGGCCGGAAAACCATGCGCGCCGCCACAGTTGCAGCTGATGTTTGCAATTCCCGCTACATGTGTTCACCGGATTGGCGGTTTGGATGCTTTTTCGATTGGCGGGGGCAGCGCGTGCAAGCGCAGTTCAGCCACAAAGATTCTTTGTCTGTCATTTCAATGTTTGATTATGGTCAGAAGCATGATCATGAATCATGAGTAGCACAAGCTTTGATAGTAAGTTTCTGAACTGTGAGGTGGTCTTGAAATGTCTTGAAGAACATGCATATTTGCACACTCAGGAAGATGATGCCTTTGTGGTCCTTTGCGCTGTTGGTGGCGAGGCTTCAGTAGGCTTTTCAGCTTCAGCACTTTTTGTGAAGCCATGTGATTGTGAGAGTGAGCTGAACTAGCTAGATGCCTTTGCCACACACGTTAGCCATGGTCGCACATGGATCTGATCAGATCTAATATTTTGACTGGGTCCATGGTGTTTCCAACCACTGAGAACCTGGTGGATTTTGATATTGCGGAATGCGGAAGAAGCAGCAGAGCAGAGGGTTTCAAAAAGAGTTCGACTGTAGACTATTAATGTTTGGTTTCTCCCGAGTAATGGAAAATCATGATGGTCAGTTCCCTGACCTCACATTGCGGGCACCCCATAACAACTATAGTATGAAAGACTGTAAGTTGCTTATTATCAGGGTTTGTCATCAAAAGCGTGGTGTTTTAAAAATGTGCGTGAAGGACACCGCACTATCTGGTCTTCAGTGGCTCGGCAGTCTGAAGCCCCAATTTTCTTTCAAGTCTTGACTTTCGATTTCAAAGGCAGTTTGTCCGACGGTTTTTGCTCAATGTCTTGTGGTTCGTAAGTTTGCTTTGTTGAGCCCACAAACACCAATGTATAAAACTATATAAAGTTATACGCTTTTCGCTTCGCTGTGATCGATGAGGTGATGAAGACCTCTTCACCTCCTGATGTTTCAGTTTCTTCTCGCTTGCAGGTGCCGTCAATGTTTTGACAAAGCTGTCCTAAAATTGATAGGGTGTGCAACAGGCGCATCTAGACTGGTATGTATATAGATGTGTGCACATTTGCGGTCAAATTGGAAGACACAGGCTGGTCCAAGATCCGACTTAACCAAATTTGTTTTCGTTTGGTATGTGCAATGTTGATGGTCACTGTGGGGGCGGGCAGGAATGACGTACAGACCTTGCCAATAATTTTCTACACTGGCTGAGTAGCGTGGATGGTCAGGAGAAGGCGCTTCGAGGACGAGTTCGACAAGGTGGTTTTCAAATGTGCAGCTATGGGTGCAGACCTTAGGGCATTGGATTTTTGTCATTAATCGATCTAAAGATCATTCCTGCGGCCAACAAAGCCAACTAACCTGAAGTTTGTCTGAACCTTTTGGGAATTGGCAGCAAATGAACTTGTTACTTCGTGTTTTTGGCCCAGGTTATTGCCGGATTTGTGTGGGGCACTGGTGCGGGTGTGTGCGAAGCCAAGTTAGTCGGCTCCTTTTCACGATGTGCGCAATGCGTTCACTGTGGCCTGAACACAGTCATGAAACAATAACAATGCTAGGTGACAAGTTAGTTGTGTTCGGCTACATTTTAGGAATGTTAAAATTCAAAATGAGGGGCAAGTAGGCCGACCTTTGTTGGTTAAACATGAACTACTTTGGGCCAAAAAGGTCGCCCCCATTTTGGCTTTGATTGCTGGCCGCTGTTCAGCCTATATATAATATTGTTCCGGGTGGTCTGCATAATATGAATATGTTATATATGTTTAATTAATGTAGTTGCTTCATTCATGGGCTTTCTTGTGGGGCATTTCAGGTATTGATGGTTTCCAAACATCACACACTTACTAAGATTGGATTTTTGCCGTGCCATGTCCAAGGTCGGGCTTCAATTCAAGGTGGGCCTTTGCGCCCCACGCGCGTGCCAATGAGATCCCTAGTGATGAGGTGTTTTGGCGTCAGGCCTGCATTGCTTGAGTCTCAGCCTTGGAGTGTTCGAGTTCATCGAAAAGAAGAGTTTCAATTGTTCTTACTGAGCCTGTTTGAAAGTTGCCCACAGGAACTTTCATTAGTGTGTCAAGGTGTCTTCATTCAGTAGTAGATGATGACTACGCTGAATTCACTTGGACGCTCGAGACTTACAAGGCCTGGCAAGTCGCAAAAAAATGTCCAATTAACCAGTCTTTAATCCTAGTTGAACTCACTGCGCTTCAACTCAGTGCGCGTATCAGGGCTCTCGACTTCATTAGGGTCTGATGAAAAGATGCTACTTGCTAGTTGGTCACTGGTATTTTTACCGCACTCCTTCCTTGATGCTGCTGATCAGTTTTGAAAGGCCACTGTTAATGTTAATGGTCTTATATTGTTGCTCCTGAAACCAAAGCGGTATTCATCTCAACTTTTCAGCCGAGGCTCAGATGTACACGTATGTTGGGGCCCTTAAAGAAGAGACTGTTGCATAGGGGGGCCAAAAAGCCCCCACAGCAAGGGTCCAGATGTACAGTGTACGCGTATTTTTGGATCCAGAAGATACCAGCTTAAAGTTAAAGGATTGCAGTGTTGCCTTCGCAGCAAAGACTATGAACACCACTTTGTAAATTTGAAATTGTGGCCTCCCAGGCGGTGTTCATGTGAGCCCTTCAGCTGGGGCTCAGATGAACGTTTGGGCCCGAGACGAAGCCACTCTTGACTTGGTGAGTCCCGATTTCATTCTGACAAATGTCCATTTTTTTTTGGGCTGGCAAAGTGCAGTGTCAGGCTCGGTCCGCAGCTGACCGTGTTTCATTTTGCTGAAAGGTATAATGATTGCGAGCTGCGCCCTCAGAAGAGGTTTCAAGTGAATGCTTTGGTATTGTCATGTGTTTTGCGATTTGCTGCTGATGGCACTATGATATATTTCCTTTGAATCGTTTTACTTGTATTCTGCTTTGGCGTTTCTCAGACTCAGCCCAAAGCTAAGGTGACTGGATTGTCAGCTTTATCTTTACATGGACAGGAAGCTTGAGGCAAATTGATGCCAGTGAGATTTCAGTGATCTTGCTTTTCGCAAAGGTTTGAGATGTTGTTGCGTTGCTCCCGTCTGAAACGTAAAGCAGTGAACACCATTATGTTTCTCACCACCTGGATTCGCACATGTGCCATGAGACCAAGATTTGTTTGTCATCAAGTGTGAAGATTTGCATTATTTCAGGCAGACCTCAAATAGCGCAGCTACATGGGCAAGGGGCATTGCAGGCAGTGTTGCTCCTCAATTCAGTGGATTGTGATGCTAGCAAGATTTGAAAAAAAACACATTGCCTGCCTTGGAATGTTGATCCAACATTGCATATCTTTCGATGGATTGTACGATCAGCTAGCTACTTACCTTCACTTCAAGAGTGGGATGTAAATGTGCTTTTTTTTGTACAGTGCGCTGTCGCATTTTTTATTGCAGGATACGTCCATATTATTTTGTCAATGGCTTTTAGGCTTTTGTTCAAGATCCAACTCACATAAACGTCACTCGGTGATCTGTGACCCGCCAGTCCGCTCTCTGTTTGCAATGATTCGCACAGCTCGACAAAATAAAAGGGTGAAGAGGGCCCAAGCTGCTGCCCAAAATCAGATGATGATGAACCCGATGATGAACCCCATGCTGGCAATGAATCCAATGGCAGCCGCATTCATGAATCCTATGATGGCGGCCGCCATGGGTGCTGCTGTTCCCAATGCCCCTGGGCAGTCCAGTGGGTCAGAGACTTCAGATGACGAACGGGCTCACAGGCGACCAGCGGACTCAGGTGCCAAGTCTTCTTCCCCTGCTGTTCCGGTGCAAGATGCGCAGCAGACAGTGCCTGCCGAGTCACCGAGCACAGATCCAAATGCAGCTTCCAGTGCTGCTGCTGCTGCTGCTGGAGATGTTTTTGCACAGGCTTTCAACCGAGCCATGAGGGGCTTGGATCAGCACAGGGCAGACCTGTACAACACCCGTGGAGAAAATTGCACCATCACCCGAAGCACCGCGTTGATCAGAGGCTTGCCGAAGGCCAGGTTGGGAGTTTCTGCAGTCAAAATATGGTTTGCATATAATAACTACTGTAAGTTTTTAGACTTAGAGTGCCCATTGTTTTAGAAGTAGTAGTCAGAATTGGTCAATGTAGTAGTCAACCAATGGTGTACCAATGTTTTTTTCGTGGCATGCCCAGCCGCTCTTAGCTAGTTCAACACTCTTTAGGTCTGTTTTCCAAGCCAGCGGCATCAGTTTTCATTTGTGATTTTCCACCCTGCAGTCCCGTCTTGCTGATGCTGTTGAAGCTGTTGATGGGCAGCTGGATCCGACAGCTACCTCTGATTTGACATCGGCATCCTTGGCAAAGCTCATATGGTTGCTTACACGGCAAAAGCCGTGTACCTCGGTGTGCCGCTTGAAGGTGAAAAACTATGGCGACCTCAACGCCCGTCTGCGCCGAGTGCATGAGCGTATCACTTCAAACAACCCCCGGATGGTACAAGTCTTGGAATCAATTCGGCAGGAACCAGTCTTGCAGAATGATTTTGTGGAAGCTTTAGCTGAACAAGAAGGATTTGATCCTCTCTGGATGACTCAAGATGCTCCGGATGCGAAGGTCAAGGCTGCAGCCAAAGCCAAGACTGGTCAACAGAGCTTGCCCAAGATGATGGCTGCAGCTGCTGCCTCCAATCAGGCAGCTGTGCCACCCAACCAACCAGCTGTGCCAGTACCAGTGCCTGCGCAGACAGTGGCCAGTGCTGTGAATGCCATGGGGCCTCCTCTCGTTCCCAAGGCCAAGGCAACAGCTGTGGCTTTGCAACCCGCAGTCAAAGCTGGGGGCCCTGTGCATGTACCTACTGATCCTACTATGGCTCGTCCTGTCATTGTGGTTGCTCCATCCTTGCCTCGTCGAATGACGCATTGCTGTTTTATGTTTCCAAACATATGGAAACCTCAAATTCAAACACGATACAAACTCAAACAGACATCTTTCGATCTGTGCTTCATTGCGACTGTGTTTGTTTTGGGTAATTGCTGTGAGCCTGGAGCTGTGTTTAGCAGCCATGCATGTACTATGATCCCCCTTGCCATTTCCTCCACGGAATGGGTGGGGTTGAGGTCGCCATAAGGCACCATTCTGTGGAAAATGGTTCCTTAAAATGGGGTCGAGCTTGCCAGTTTGTAGTAATTTGTTGGTTTTACCATTTTTATTTTGAAGGCATGATCATTTATGGGCACCAAGACAAACCATTTTGTAACAAACAAAAAGCTTTTTTGTAGAGGTTTTTAAGGGTATGATTTGGTGGTTTTAAAAAATGTGAATTAGTCACAACAAGCTCCAAATGCTCCCAACATGGACGCCTAACGGCCCAACCTCCGTCAAAAATAAGGGGCTCCTTGCTCTTTAAAATTTACGGGACCAAGGAGCCCCTCAGTTTGGCCCACCATAAGCTCCCCAGATTGTCGAACATGGCCGAAAATGGAGGCTACAACATTCCGACTAACACCAGCTTGCACGCCCAAGGTCCACATAAAGTATCGTTTTTGCTCCTTTACAATTGCCTTCCGAACCTAGAACACGTAGACCCGGTGGAGGGGCCTCCAGAGGGTCAACCATGGCAGGGGTTGACCCTGTGGAGGCCCCTCCACCGGGTCCACATAAAGTACCGTTTTTGCTCCTGGGTTCTTGCCAAGATAGATGCTCTACAAAATGGCCCTGTGGTTTTTATATGTGGGGATGTCTCAAAATAGGAGTGCCCCAAGCTGACTTTTTTTAGTTAGAAAAGAAGGGCTTGGGGCACTCAGTTGTGGCGCCCCTGTTCTGAGACATTCCCATGTTTTATAAGATCCTGAATGCACTGGTTTGATCATTTTTTGACAAAATTGTCAAAATATTTGTGGATCAAAAGAGGTGACAGGCACTACCATTTTGTAGAGCCATGGGTTATAGACAGACCATTTTGTAGGAGGGAGACTGTGTACCGGAGCCATTTTGTAGAGAAAAGGGCTGGTTCACTACAAAATGCCCCCCCCCACCTCACCCATGAAATGGCAAGGGGGATGTACTGTGCAGATTATTTTAAACGTTGTTCTTATAAATTCAAAGTTTTGATAGTCAGTATAAAATTCCATTGTATGATTGTCCGTTCTGTTATTTGATGCGCCTAAACATTTATGGTTCTTTGTTCAGGAGCCGGATGTGGCGGTAGAGATTGAGGCGGAACTGAATGCAGGAGCTACTGCTGAAAACCTTCAGGGATCTGCAGTTTCGGAGACTGTGGGTGAGCCAGTGGGTGAGGAAGTGGGTGAGCAAGCATCTGAGTCGAATGCTGCGGTTGCGGTGGCGGAAGAAGTCCATGCAAACTCAGGTGAAAAGTGTTGCATTTGCCAGCAGCCCCTTCGTGGCTCTGAGGGTCCTGTGATGCCTTTGGAGGCAACTTTGTGCGGGCATGTTCATCACCAGCAGTGCCTGGAGAGCTGGTGGAATTTCCAGAACTGTCGTGGAGCTTGTCCTTACAAGTGCCAGCAAAGTGTGCCCATGGATATCTTGGCCAACAATGTGTCTTCCTCATCTTCAGCTCATGAGGCTCGTGAGCAATCTCCGGATGATGATGACATTGTCGAAAATCTGGTGCAGGAAGTGGAGATGCGCGACCCTGTCCCCGCTCCAATGGTTTTGTGAGCAGATTGAGTGGCAGGAGGGCGAGGTTCTGAGCATTCACCTCTGACGTATGTGTAGTTTGTTTTTGATGTGGTTGGCTCGGCGTTTTTTTGATGGAACTCCCATCAAATTTAGAATTATGTTGAAGCGAGAGCCACATGCAGTGACCCAAGGGGAGGTCACATTGCAGGTTCGCTAGGTGGAGTATGAAGGTATGACATGGCATGGATATTAGCGTTTTAGTTTCATAGTTCATCGGAACTTTTACGCAGTTGCCGAACGATTGCAACGGAGATCGTCAAAAAAAGAGTACGTCCGATCGTCCGAAAAGGGATCACCGTCGCTCAAATTTGCTCAAAGTTGCTCAAATTTGCTCAAAGTTGCTCAAAAAAGCTCATGTGGCTCAAAGTTGCTCAAAGTTGCTCAAAGTTGCAAAAAGTTGCTCAAGAGAAACATAATCAATCAAGACATGAACCAATATCTTGTATCATTTCTCCTTCAGCAATTGTCAATTAGTGCTGATGGACGGCATTCTCAAAGCGGTGAGGGAGAAAATCGAGATTGAGAAACAGCTCCAGCATCAACTGGAGACATGTAGCGCAGATATCTGTGCAGCGATGTTTGAAGAATTTGCACCGTTTCCTCACAATTCCAACGGTCAACTCTGTTGGCCCGCTCACTGGGATGCTGATGTTGGAGATTTGCGCAAACACTTGCTGAGATTCTTTGAGTACGATGACTGCTTTAGTGGATGCAGAGCTCAGCGAATGTGGCCATTGTACCTGGAAGCGGCTTTCCCGTTCATGCGAGGGATGCCTTTGATTGACATGCTGACGAGCCTTGTGGTGCGCACATGGCACCATCGTTCCTGCGGCAAAGCTTGGTTGCAGAGTGTAGAGTTTTTCTGTGGCAAAGCAAATCTGTCCTTAGCTGCTTTGGAAGCAGGACTCAAGGCTGCTGCAATGGATAAGACCTTGAACCCGGAACACAATGTGTTGGAAGCACCAGGCCTGAGGCTTGCATTGCTGTTGCTCACGGCTACAGTGCCAGGAGCTCTGGAGTGGCTTGGAAGCCCTTGCAACAGCTATGTGGTCCTGTGCAGAGCGCAATCACTGCGATCAGCTGACAATATGTACCTTGGAGATGAGAGCAAATACTTTGTCCTGGAAGGAAATTGTTTGGGCGACATCTCTGCACTTCTTGTGCTGCTGGGGGTCATGACCTTGTTGCGTTTTGGATTGGAGCAACCGCAAAACTCGGTGCTTCCTTATAGTGGATGCATGGCTGCCGTCTTGCGCTATGTGGAAGCTGAGCAGACCCTGACCTACCATTACTGTTTTGGTGGAGAACGTTGAAGCCTCTTCAGCTTTGGAGTTGTGATCCATTCATTTGCGCACTGGGTCGACCGAAGCCTTCTTGTTGCTACCATGTTGGAGAAGAGGGTGGATTAGTGAGCCGTGATAATGAGGGCGGGTTCACAGGCCATAAGGAACGCCTGAAAGAATCCCAAGCTTATTCTAAGGAATTTGGACGTGCAATCGTTCGGGCTTTCCTTTCTCACCAACAGCAGTAGTTTGCGCCTTGAGCTTTGGTAATTAATCATAGTATAGCTGCAAGGAGTTGTGTTTCTGCTGGCAGCTCCCATGCATGCCAGTGTCGGCATTCATTCTTTTCAGCCGTGTGTGCAGTGAAATTGGCAGAGTGAAAAAATGTGTTCAGGCCAGGTCCTGTGAACCACTGTTCTGGAATTAGTTCTTGATACCAAGCTTTGCACTGTAGTTTTCGACCACATTGTTCGACTCACAGCATTGAAGATTACAGTTTCTGCTGTCAGGTGACAGGTGGCTGGTCCACTGTTGTTGGCCGAAATCTCAGACCTATTTAATCAATCAAGATCACGTGCGTGTCAAAGAGATGAACATTACTGCTAGTTGTAGAAGAAAAGACCAAGCTAAACCAGATGAATGTCTTTCTCAGTGGAATGGTAAAATCATACATCAAGTCAATGATTGCATCGCGCAAGACTAGCTGACTAGCTTTCTGTGAGCGTAATTGCGACAAGGTTTTTGTCCAGCCAAATCAGACAGAGGTTGAGCTGTAGACCTGATATGTGAGCAACCTGCAGTTTTATTCTTCATTATTCTTCAGCTGTGCATCGCATTTGCCTTCAGTTTGTTTAAGCAATGGGTGCTGATCAACATCCCAATAGAGAAGTTCCAGCTGAAGTTGACCCAGAACTTCGTCTTCACAAAAGGCTGCACATCGCTTGTTTGATTATCAAGAAGTATGAGCAGGTGGGTGTCGCTCCGCCGCTGGAACTCATGGACTATGTGGAGCCTCACATATCCAAGCGTGTCTGGGAGAAAGCGGCTTGGCGTGCAAGGCACATGCTTGCGGAGAGATGTGAGCTTGAAGCCTGAGAAAAACCATTGCCGAACCTTCCACTTAGACATGTTACTCTTGAGTCAGTTTTGAATGTCAGCCAGTTGGTCGTTTTGAGAACAGCATGGCATGATTTTGGTTTGAGTCTTTGAACTTGCAAGCAGATGGTTCAGCAGCGACATTGCCAAATTAGATATATAGCGATTAGATCGATTAATTCAATGTTAGTGCTGGTTTCCTTGGTTGATTTCAATCGAGGGCTTTGAAGCGTATAACTTTGCCACCTGATCTGTACAGATGTTTAGGTGTAGGAGTGTGGGATATTCAAGCTGAAGCAAAAGGGAAGAAATATGGCGTCGCTCGATCGAAGACGATGACTGTTTGTCAAGTTGCTGACTTTGGTAGGCTTTTGTTAAAGCTATGGTCTGTGCAATCAGCAGTTTTCGATAGGTGGGAACTTCGAATCGTTGATTCCGAAATAATTCCAATCCTTGGGTTGCAGCCTTTGTCGCACAGTATCCCTAGATACTTCCACGCCCATCATAGGGCAATGCCACTAGCTTGGAATCCTGGAATGTAGTTTCATTTGTCTTCAGGCAGTTTGCGGTGCGTTGCTAAGATTTTACTTCAGTAACTCTTCAATAGCGGACCGCACCAAGTCAAATGAGCGACCAGAGACAGAAAACAATAGAGTGAGTTTTTTTGCGTTCCGGAGATGATGTGATCTGTCTTGTGCTCATGACTGAATTTTGCATGTTGTTGATTGCAAGTGCTGAGGTTCATAGTCGTTTCCAATTTAACATTCGTGCTTGACATGGTTTTGGCAGATATAATACAGTTAGGAGCAGTCGAGAAGCAGCATGTGTGTATGTTGTCACTGATGCAGGACATTTGAAACATGTTGTGCAGTAACATTACAATGACACTGAGAGCGATAGTGATGGATGGTAGTACTGGTACCTGTGGCGAGTTGGGTATTAACACAACCAACAATATTGGTGAGTGATGAATCAACACTGATGACTTATGAATAGGTCGGCAGTTTGTGACCTTATATGCTTTTACTTGAGCAATGTGAGCAGCTGTCACTCAATGGTGATAGTGCTTTGCTGTCCAAAGCTGCGTTTCGATTTCAGAGGGATGCGGTAACACCTGCTCAGCTGTGGTGGCGCCTGGACCTTCTGCATGAGAAGTTGATCAGCAAGGGAGAAAAGAGAAAGTTATACAGATGGGTTTGCTTTTTGAAAGATGCAGTTAGTCAAACAAAGCTTTTGTCCGGGAATGATGTGTGCAAATGGCTGCACATGAGAAGTTCCGACCTTCCGCACAATGCATTGCCACACCATGTTGCTACATCTACAGGCCTGATTGCTTTCATTGCTTTTGTTTTGCGAGACGGCCGAACTTCGTCAATCATTGACTTTTGTCGGAGTTTACTTGCAAACATTTGTGCTCGTGCAGTTGCTCACTTGACTGGGCCAGTCGAAATCATCATCGGTGATGACATTGCGCCTCTTCGTGTTTTACCTGGCGGCTTAGTGCAAGGCTTGGCCGATGCAATTTCAAGCAGGCACGCGATGGTGTGGCAGACGTGGCAAAACGAATGGCTGGCCATGCATGAGCAGCAAGAGCTTTCCTCTCTGCCAGATGACGCTTCACTTCTCCTGACTGATCTTGTGAAATTCTCTTTTGAAATCGACAGAAGGAGAAGGTCGACAAACAAACACATTTGGCCACGTGATAGCCAGACAGGGATGACCCTTCACAGTGTGTTGAAAGGGTTGGTTGTGTTCCTGAGTCATCATTTGGATGACTTTGTCTTGAACTACTTTGTTCATGAGCATGACTGTTCCGAAGCTGTGCCCTCGAGACGTCGTTCCAATGGCGGTGGAGAGGTTGCCAAGCGGATTCAAATGTCAGCTGACACCATTTTTGAAATCATCCAGGATGCAAAAGATTCTGGCCTGTCGATGCGGGAGGCTGTCAATTTTTTGAAACGCAGTGGCAGGTTATCAGCTGCTGCTGGCACTCATCCCAACGCTACTGATGCTTGGATGAGAAGACATCAAAAAATATACGATGACCGAGCTGTGATTGCATTCGCAGGGACCAATCATCTGAACCTGATTGCCGACGGCTCCAAGCATGCGGGGAAAGAAGTTCTTGTGACAGTTGCGTACTCCTGGGAGAACAATACAGCCGCATTTGCTC